TGGCTGGCTTTGGTGCGGCAGCCACGGCGGAGACGGCGGCGACGCCGGCATCGGAGAGCAAGCCAGTCAAGTACTGCGAGCCGACCCACTTCACCGGTCCCTACCTCGACATGCCGCTGTTTTGGGAAGCGGAGGTGGTGGGGCGGGCGTCGCTGCTCAACCTCAACAACGGGTTCGTGGAGGCGCACAAGGATGAGCTGCGGCCGCGGCTGGAGAAGTGGGTGGAGAAGGCCGCCTTCTACAAGAAGCCGTTGCGGTATGTTGAGATCGAGGACGAGGATGAGGGGGTGGTGCGCGTCATCATCAAAGACGCGGACCGCACCTTCTTTCACACCGATCACCGTCGCAAGCTGGTGGCGTTTCTGCATGCTATGTACCACGAGTTTCACGCGTACGGGCAGGCCATGAGCTACCTCGCGGGTCTGTGCATGCTCGTGCTGACGGAGGACGAGACGGCCGCGGTGATTCGGTTTGTGGCGACCGAGTACCTGAAGGGGCACTGGGCCGCCGAGGCGGTCGGATTCGCGACGAGTGCGTGGGTGGTGGAGCACTTCATGCAGCAGAAGCAGCCCGAGGTGGCGAGTCACCTCGAGGCGCTCAAGTTTTGGCCGGACACGTACCTGCAGAAGATCCTGACCGGTCTCTGCATCCACGTGCTGCAGTTCCGAGAGCTCTTCGACTTTCTTGACGCTTTCATGCAGGGCGGTCTGCGCTTTCTCATTCGCTTCTGCCTCGCCATCGTCGAGCACTTCCGCACGCCGCTGCTGGCCATCAAGAACTCGACCGAGGCAAACGCGTTGTATGAGCTGATGCGGCTCGACTCGCGCGTAGCCGACCGCGAGGACGTGCTTGCCATCCTTCGGCGGGCGCCGTCAATCGACCTCGGCGAGGACGGCAACAGCATCGACCTCATTCGTAGCAAGGTCTACGAGAAGCACATCGAACCCCGCCTGGAGCGCGCACCCAAGACAGAAGCGTTCGAGCCATGTGATGTCTGCGAAAAGAACCGGCCGACGTGGTGGAACGAACACGTCGGTGCGGTCTGCGACAGCTGCAAGACAACGCTCCCCGACAGTGATTTTGAGAAGTACTGATGGTCACGGAGGCGGCAGCCACACACACACACACACACATGCCCTCGCCATGCACCGTCACGTGCACACGATAGAAGCGTGGAAGGACTCCTCCTCCCTCCTCCTTTCTCTCACTCTCTCTTATCCCACACGCGCAAAAAAAAAAAAAAAAAACAGTGCAAAACAGAGTATACACCACCAGAGCCGAAAGAAGAAGGAAAGAAAAAAAAAAAAAGATCAATGCACACACACATCTGTGAATCGTTCAGTCTGTGATGGCGGTGGGGTGGGGGAGTGACGAGAAGGGCCCCAGAGATGCGTGCGTGCACAACTCGCGTCGCATTGCAGCTCTCTACCACCTCACCGACCCCTCTCCACCACCTCCACCACCTCCGCTGGCTTTCCACGCGACGGTAGACGCAGTGAGAGACACTCAACTTCTCCCTTCCCCACTTCCCACCCTTTTCCCGACTCAGTGTCTCTGCGGGGCAGTGCACTTTCTCTCAGCTGCTCTTGCCCACACACGTACACACGTACACACGTACACACACACACACATACACCCGCTCAGTGAGGGAGGGGAGGTGGGGGTGTAGTGGGTGGTGGACCCGCGGACACATAGGTGCCGTTGTGGACACTTCTCACAGTGGTCTCCTGCCCTCCCCATCCTCGGAGGCTGGCGCGTTTCGAGCACGCCATGGTGCGCGGTGCTGTGGCGTAGCCGAAACTGATTGTTTGCACACGACCGCGCGCGACTTCTCGTGCTCTGTGCTTTCCTTGCGCTGGGCCTCACCCGCCGATCTCCTTCCGTCCCCTGGTGGTGCTTGTGACAGTGGTGTATCGGCCCTGCGGTGACGAGGGGAGGGGGCAGGGGGTTCTTGCGAGCCCGGCGCCATGCCGCTGTCGTCAGTGCGGCTGGCGGACTGTATGACGCTGAGTTCCTCTGAGTTTCGTGAGTCGGATAGTGCGGTTGTCGATGAGTGGTCGGGCAAGGACACTTGGGTGCCACCGGTGGTTCGGCGGTTGAGCCAGGTGCCGGTGGCGTCGATGATGACTGGCGTGCTCGTCTTTTTGCTCTCGCTTGCGTGTGCCCGTCTTTTGTCGCTTGTCGTGCGCGTGCACGCGTCGTACTTTCCCTCCGGTCCGCTCACGCTGTTGCAGCTCACTGCCTTCTCCCTGTGCTTCACGGTGATTGGGCTGCACGTGACGAACTGCGTGCACGCGTGGATGCGATGCAGCCACGAGACGGCGGCGGCGGTGCGCGCGGCGAGCGAGGTCAGTGCGTACGTGCTTCTCCTCTTTGTGTGCGATCGCACGACGCTGCTGAAGCGGCGGACCACGGTACTCGACGCTGACTTCTTCGGCTTCTTGGTTTTGGGGTTCGGTGTGGCGGCGGTCGCGACGGCGCGCAAGGTGCCGGTGCCGCATGCCGCGGCGCTGGCGCCGGCGGTGGCGGACGGGCCGGAGCGGGTGCGTGGTGGCGTGGCCGTGGCCGTGGCCGTGGCCGTGGCGCCGGCAGCGACAGCAGCAGCATCGGCGGCAGCGGCGGCGGCGACGTCGTCATCGTCGTCGTCGTGGCAGCCGGGGCTGCTGAACCGGCACCAGGTGGAGGAGTGGTGTGGGTGGCAGATCCTGCTCTTCATGGCGTACGGCTACTTCGACAACGTGCACCTCTACCGGTTAGTGCGCGCGTGCATGTCGGCCTTCGTCTTCCTCGCGGCGGTGACGCACTACCGGCAGTTCAATGCGGATCTGCCGGCGCAGCACGGCGGCGTGCTGCTGCTGCTGCGGTCCCTGTGGCGGCTCAACTCGTTCGTCGCGGTCACATGCGCTGTGATGGGCGACCAGTACATGCTGTACTACCTCTTCGCGGAGCAGAGCTTCGTCGCGGTGATGGTCGGCCTGTTGACGCGCGCTGGGCCAGCGGCCTACCGCGGAGGCCGCGCCTTGGCGCTGAAGCTCTGTGTTGTGGTGGCGGTGAGCTGTCTGCTGTGGGACCTCCCGTGCTCGCCGGAGGTCTTCCGCGTTGTGTGGGCGCCGCTGCGGTGGCTCGTCCGCTACGACAACCCCATCGTCAAGGTGGAGCCGTTGCACGAGTGGTGGCTGCGCACGTTCCTGGACCACTGGATTTGGCCTGTGGGGCTGGTGGTGGGGCACCGCGCGCACGTGGTGGACCGAGCGCTGCGGGCGCTCGACAGCGGCGCGCGCTACGGCGACGCGGTGAAGGTGGTGATTGCGGGTGGGGCGGGGCTGCTGCTTGCCGGCTACTGGATCGAGTCGTTCCGCCACGACGTGGTCGCGTACAACGCCTACCTGCCGTATGTGTCGTGGCTGCCGATACTGGCGTTTGTGACGCTGCGGAACGTGTTCGAGAGCGTGCGTGGCTACTACATGCCACTGTGCACGCTCGTGGGGTCGTTCGCGATGGAGGTGTACGTGGTGCAGACGCACATGTTCATGGCCACGGCGGAAGCGAACACGAACCAGCTCTACTCGATCCGCCTGCTGCCTGGCCACCTCCCGCTCTGCGACTTCGCGCTGCTCATGGCCGCCGTCATGTGGGTGTCGTACCGCGTCCGCGCCGCCGCGCCGCTGCTGGAGCAGTTTGTGCTGCCCAAGCACACACCCCTCGTCGCCGTGCTGGAAAACCTGGCCGTCCTTGCCTTGGTGGTGAGCTGCACATACGCGATCCACTGGCTCTCACGCCTCGTGGGTCCCTAGGAGCACGACGGTGGTGCAATCTGCCAGTCCCCTCCCCGCCGCCCTCAACCGCATCTCGCAGTTATCTGTTGTTGTTGTTGTTTTTGCTGTTGTTGCTGCCCCCTCCCTCCCCCTCCGCCCCACATGTCCGTCGAGGAAGAGCGAGTTACCCCACAAGCGGATGTGCCTCTCTTGCCCACTTTCCCCCACTCACACTCACACACTCACTCTCTCTTCCTCCTTTTTTGTTCTCTCCAACCAACACACACACACACACACGCACGCTTGGCAGGATGCGGCGCGCGTTGCTGAATTCGGCGCGCGAGACGCGCGCGGTGCCGCACCCGCGTGACCGTGCGGTGCGCCAGCTGGAGAAGAGAGAGAAGCGCATTGTGCGGCTGGATGAGCAGAAGACACGCCTCAAGACGGAGCAGGCGCTGCGGCTCATGCGGTTTTTCTGGTTCCGCGAGCAGTGCCTCGCCCTCGGCTACACCAGCTCCGCGGTCCCGGAGGACACGGTGGCGCTGCTGGCGCAGCTGTATGTGGACCGGAACAAGGAGGAGTTGGCCGCGCTGCGGGCACAGCGCAACCCGCCGGCGGGCCGCATCAAGGTCCTCGAGGCCACCCTGCAGGCCGAGCTGGACGAGCTCCACTCGACCAAGGGGCTGCGCCTGCCCAGCCTGGCGGACGCCGACGATGTCGAGATCCTGACCGAGATCTGGGACGGGGCGCCGGAGACCGCCACGGTGGTGCCGGTCGCGGGCTTCTCGATGCAGCGGCGGGCACCGCCGGCGCCGGACGCGCTCGCGCGGCTGTCGCAGCGGCTCCGGCCCGTGGCCGAGGTCCGCGACGAGGCGCCGGGGACGCGTCCGAGACGGGTCGTCAAGTTCCACGCGGCGCGCAAGAAGAAGGTGTCGGCGAAGAAGACGCAGGACACGGTGGTGGATGCCAAGTCGCGCGTGCAGGCCCGCGAAGGGGCGCGGCAGCAGAAGCGGCTCGCGGAACAGCGTCGCGCCGCCCTGGCACACCGGCGCCATCGCCCACCCACGGAATAAAAACTACGCCATAACTCGAACACCGAGAAACAAAAAAAAAAAAACCAGAGTGACACACACATGCATGCATGCAACGACAGCAAGCCGAAAGCCGCCGCGCCGACACACAGACGAAACCCACTCACTCCTCTTCTGCGCCATCCGCTTCCGCGACACACAAAAAAAAGAAAAAGGGGTCGTTACGGGAATTGAACCCGTGACCTCCTGTACCCAAAACAGGAATCATACCACTAGACCAAACGACCTTGTCGCTCGTGCTTCCGCTGTGGAGGGCTCCCACTCCCCGAGAATACCCACAGTCTCGGTGAACAGGTCGGCAGCACCGTAGCGCAGTGGAAGCGCGATGGGCTCATAACCCATAGGTCGTTGGATCGAAACCAATCGGTGCTAACCTTTTTTTTTTTTTTGCGTGGCGTTCGTTTGACTCTCGAGGGGAGGAGAAAAAAAAACCTCACTACAACAACAAGCAGAAAAGCAAGGTGAGATGGTCGAGTGGTCTAAGACGTTGGATTAAGGTTCCAATCCTTTCGAGGGCGTGGGTTCAAACCCCACTCTCATCACATTTTTTTTTTGGAGGAGCGCGACACCGCAAAAAAAAAAGTGAGGACCCACCCGGGTTTGAACCGGGGACCATTCGGACTGCAGCCGAATGCTCTACCACTGAGCTATGAATCCGATGCCCCGAACGACAAGAGCACGTATGCTTGTTGCAATACAAAAAAAAGAAAAGCGAATATCTGGGTTCTATACCCACATTCATGGTCCTCTCTCTCGGGACCGTTGCTTCGACTTTTACTAAGCAGCGCTACTAACCTACAAGCAAATTTTGAGGCCCCACCTGCGGGCTACACGCCTTTTTTTTACTTTTTGTCAAGAACCACCCTTCCTCCTTTCCCCCCCCCCCCCCGCGCCACAGGTTCAGAAGCGCGCGAAAACTCCTTTCCAGGTCACACCAACTGACGCTCCACCACCGTGCGAGGTCTGCTGCTCTCACCTCTCTCCCCCCCCCCTCCCTGCTCCCTGACACAAAACAAAAAAAAAAACCCCACCGCTGTCACTTCACCCCCACCTCTTCCTCTGCACTTTTCTCCCCGCTTTTTTTTTCTTTTCGCCACCTCCAAAAAAAAAAAACGATAAGAAAGGGTGCAACAAGCTGCCGCACACCACCGCATAGCCCCTTCGCTTTTTTCTTTTTTCACTTCCGCTCCCCACCGCCACCGCCGCGTCGCGATGGACATCACACGGTTTAACCAGGTGGTGGCACTCGCCGACTTTGCGCGCGAGGTGCAGCGGTGCGAGTTCTGCGCCGTGGACCAGGAGATGACCGGCGTGGACGTGCCGGGCGTCACCGCGCCGTTCGGGTCGCCGCCGGAGGACGTCTACCGCGTGAAGCGGATCGCCGTGGAGGCCTACAACGCCTTCCAGATCGGCATCGCCCTCTTCACCAAGACCGACACCGACACCTACGAGGTCCGCCCCTACAACTTCTACCTGCTCAACGACGCTGGCGACCTGCGCCTGAGCCTCTCCGCCATCTCCTTCCTCGCGGCAAATCACATGAACTTCCAGACATGGCTCACCTCAGGCCTCTCCTTCTGCGACGCGCACCAAGAAGCCACCTTCGACGCCAAGCACGACGCTCCCTTCACCAATGAGGCGGAGCAGCGTCTCGCCGACGACGTCGTCAAGGCTGCAGATGAGTGGTTCTCCACCGAGACCGCACCACTCGTCCGAACACTGCCCTGCTCCACCGACCTGGCGCGACGCCTCCACGGCTACATTGGCCGCCACTACGACTTCCGCATCGTCGCCAGCTTTGACGGAAAGCCGAGCCTAGCGCAAAAGCTCGAGTTCACGCTCACCAAGCTGGACGACGTGGCCTGGGCCGCAGAAAAGGAGAAGCGCCTCGTGCAGGGCGAACGCGACCGCGCACGCCAGCTCGGCTTTCGGCAATTTTGGAAGATTCTCGTGAGCAGCAAGAAGCCCATTGTCGGTCACAATTTCATGCAGGACGTCATGTTCATGATTCACATGCACGAAACACCCCTTCCCACCCCCTACGCCGACTTCAAAGCGCTGCTGCAGCGCACGCTCCCCACCATCTACGACACAAAAACAATGGCTACGACCTTGGCGGGCGACAACGCCTTCCAGGTCACGCATTTGGGGTTCCTCTACCAAGAATGCCGCCGCCGCGCCGGCCTCAGCCGCGACGACTTCAGCCGGCAGTATCGCCTGCCGCCTGGCTTTTACAGCTACAACGACTACGCCGTGCAACTCCAGAGCAAAGCGCATGAAGCAGCATACGACGCATACATGACCGGAATCGCCTACACGCTGCTGCACCGCATGTACCCCGGCGCATTCGCCGAGTTGAGGAACGTCATCTCCGCCTTCGGAAGCGTCCACTACTTCTGCGTGGACACCGCCGACCGCCTCATCTCACCCAACACATTTATTCTCGAGTGCACCTGCCCCGCCTACAATGAGCAGGTGGAGGCGCTTTTTTTCGCCACAGAAGACACGGCAGCCTGCACCGCAGAGAGCGGCAAAGTGGATCTGAAGAAGCTCTCCTACCACATCAGCGGTTTGTCAGCCTCAGCAGACGCGAAGAAGTTCACATCCTTTTGCGTCCGTATGAAGGGAGACACAACTGCGCAGGAGCTGCACTCCCGCCTCCAATCACTCAGAAACAAGAAGCTGCCCAACGAAACCCACGTCGACCTCGCTCTCCTAGACTGCATTTCAGTGCGCACACCCTAGTCAAATACACGATCCTGGTCCGTCATACCCACCTCTGGCAAACCGCTGCGGGGCACTCATCATCTCCATCACTCTTCCGTTTCTGTTTTTTTTTTTTTTTTTTTTTTTTTTTTTTTTTTTCCTTTCTTTTTTTTTTTTTTTTTTTTTTTTTTTTTTTGTGTAGTCACGGTCACTTTTTTTTTTTTTTCTGTTTTTGTTTTTTGTTTTTTTGGAGGGCGCCTGGACTTGTTCCCTTGTCCCGGTCTGCGTGAGTGGGTGTGCGTGTTTTTTTTTTCTTTTTTCTCCGCTCTGTGGAGAGTTGCCACCTGCACCCCATCCAGGAGACGCCAAAACAAAAAAAAAAAAAAGGTGCACCGTTGTTTGTCTCTGATTGGAGATTGAGCTGTACCTCCATGAATCCGCCTGGGTCTGTAGTCTTTTTCAAAACTCAAGAAACAAACAGACACACACAAAAAAAAAAAAAAAAAGAAACAGCGATAGGTGAGAGATTCCCCAGAGGCCCTTCTCTCAGCCGAGTCTATTCGGGAAAAAGAAAAGACCACATGAGCAAAAGTCGCGCTCGATACCTCAAGTGAGAGTAAAAGATGGCCGCGGACTACGTGAACATGAGCAACATGCAGATGCACTCTTGCTGGCTGTCACTTTTTTTTTTTTCTTGTTCTTGTTCTGGCCTCTCCGTGGAACCTTGAGCGACGACAAGAAACACCTCGAGCTCTGGACCTCTCTTCCCCTCAATGGTGCACCCAACGCCAGCACCCTCCTCCCTTACCTCGCTTTCCGTAGTCGTCGCTGTGGGCGCTTGAAAGAGAATACTGAGTCTGCTGGTACAGCATCAACGGTGCTAGCGTACAGGGATGCGGCGAGCTTGTCACGCTCCCTTGCGCCGAGCTTCCATGACAGTGTGCACTGTTGCGGAGGCAACGCGAGGGCATTCCAGTTTCTCCGATGGCTCTGATGGATTTCAGTGGAAGCAGCGGTACCTGCAGGAGCGCCGAGACACAGCCATGGAGTACATGGGTGACGTGAAGAAGCGCGTGCCAATACACGACGCCATTCGCCATCGAGCGAGTATGAACCGTAGCGCTACCAAGAACATCCACTGCGCAACGATTTTCGAAGACATGAGCTCCTCCGGCGCGATTCCCCCCGAGCTCGACGAAAGCCGCTCCATCGTAGACGAGGTGCTGGATGACCTCCTCCTCGATGAGCATGCGCTAGATCATCTGCAGCACGTGAACGTGGGAGACACGCCCCTCCTGAACAACGAACTCCTCGGCGATGACACCGTAAGCGAGGACACAATTCGCAGCTGGCTCAAGGTGAAGCGCGACACGGCAGACTACCAAAGCTACGCATCCATTCCGGAAGGGGAGCGCACCGCCTGGTCGGCGTGGTATCTGCGCCACGTGAAGGGTAAAGACGGAAACTAGCGCGGCTGCCGCACAGCCTACCCGTTCATGTCCACTGCTTCTCCTCACAGAATTAACACACCTGCACTCACACACAACAACCGGAAGAAAGAAAGAAAGAAAAAAAAAAACCCGGTGAGCCAAGTCAACAGGCGTCACCTGGGGAGTCGTCAAAATGAGAAATCCCGTGTGCACACAGGTGGGTAGGTGTTCCGCTTCGCATCTCTGCGATCTCGAGTCCCATCATCCTTTTTGCGTAAGCTCGTCGCACTCTCCAGATCCGCCATGTTCAGTCCAGGTGTAAACTCATTAAATGATGCCCTGCTTTTGTGTTGTCTCTGAATCCTTTTTTTTTTTTTTTTTTCCGTTGGCGGCGTGTCGCACCATTGCTTGTGCCGAACCTCTGGGGAAACCACCACCGGTTCCGTCAAAGCAACACACACACACACACGTACACACACACACGTACACACACAACCTCACGAAAAAAAAAAAAAAGAAGCACGCTCTGACTCACTCCCTTCAAGACGGAAAGAGAAAAGTCCAACAGCAACGACAACCCAAGGAAACGAGGACCCGTCACTCTACACGGAGGACGACAAGAAGTGGGAGAGCGAGAGATCTGTGAGTCAGGCTCTTTTTCGATACGCCACAGAGCTCAGGGGACGATAGACGCATTCGTGAACCGTGGCTGTGCGTGACGAGGGCACGCCTCTCAAGCCCAACTCCGGTCTCCATCAGCGGCCACTATGAACGTAGTTACGGTGTGTTTGTTGGCGTCGCTGGCTGCGACGGTGAGCGCGGCTGCAGATACTGTGGCGTCCACGAATTCCACGGTGACCATTGCCATTTCCAGCACTGCGGCGACAGGTCTCTTGGTTGGTGTAGCGCTCATCGGCGTTTTAACGTTTGCGGTGGGGATGATGCAAGGCATACAGATTTCGGACACCATCACAGACGCTGCCACGGAGAGCAGCTGAAGGAGATGACAAGTCACAGAGGGACCCCCGCACTCTTCCCCTTCTGTGTAGGCGACTTTTTGTCGGCATGGCGTTTTTGTTCTCCCTTTTTCTTCTGTGGGTTGGCCGTTTATCGCTAGGGTATGACGTTTCTGTCGGACAGAGTGGGGTGTGTGGTGTGGCCTTTTCTCCCTCTGTCACTGGTGGTGGGAGAAGTAATGACAGCAAGCACGAAAGAAGAAGAGGAAAAAAAAAAGAGCGCACACACACTCACATTACTAAGGGGCCGGTGTGTGTGTGAAAAAAAAAAAAAAGGGACGACTCGCTGACTGTTCCCTACTGTAGGAAAGGAAGGAAAGTTGGGTTGCGTCGCCTCACAGTGTGTGAAACCTTGTCAACGACTCGGAGCGGATCCGTGATGCTACTGACCTGGACAAAGAGGGTTGCTCCTCTCGAGCGCAAAAAAAAAAAGGGCAGGGAAACACCTTGCATTCTCTCTCTCTTTCTATATCTTTTCTCCCTCCCTCTCTCTCGCGTTTCCTTG